TTAGTTTTTATTAGTTATTCTTGCTTTTTTAATGCTTAGTTTTAGTTTAGTTTTTATTAGTTTTTTTGTAGTTTGAAACATATTTGCTAATGGAACCTCCAGCTTGAAGTGTTCCTGTGAGTTAACTAACCATAACTAACCAGCAGCTTTTTGATCATCAGTAAAACAGTCCGTTATAGCAACATCTTCCTAAAATAATCTCGTTACACAATTTTGCCAACAAAGGACTTGGGCAGTTGTATTAAGAAGGTGACAAAAGTTGCCTAGATCCTGGTGCMACCTGGCTGGGCTGCAGCTTGTTTTTCACTGGAACTAAGAGAAGCTAACTTGTCAAGATACTCAGTTAACTAATCCCTTGAGAAGTATTCCACCTATTCTATTACCTGTTTGCACTACAAGATGCTTTTAATTTTCTCACAGTCATATTCAAAAAAAAAAAAAAAATCCCAAATTGGACTTTACTACTTTCTCCCAACTTTTGTTGTCATCATTTTGCAGGTGAGCGCTGAGCAGCAGCAGACTGTAAACAGGTGACGTCACAGATGTGCTGTAAGCTGCTCACAGTTAATGTGAAACTGCTCAATTTGAAGAAGAAAAAAAGATTAGTTTAATCAGTTCACACGGCTCAAAATAAATAGACAAACATTAAAACTAAGGACATTCTATTATTTCAGTTAGCTTTAGTTAGTTTTGTAAAAGATTGTACAGTTTTAGTTAGTTATTTTTCCATTTTACTACAGTTGTTATTTATTTCATATAACTAAAAGGTTTTTTTCAATCTAGTTAGTTATTTAGTTAGTTTAAGTTTTGTAAAAAGATTGTACAGTTTTAGTTAGTTAGTTATTTTTCCATTTTATTACAGAGGTTATTTATTTCATATAACTAAAAGGTTTTTTTTCAATCTAGTTAGTTATTTAGTTAGTTTTAGTTTACTAACAACCCTGCACAACCCACACACTATACTGCTCACCCCACAAATGCATATTCCTTACAAATGTGACACAATTTAAAAGGGAATTTAACAAGTTTTCCAATGGTAGGCTATAAATTTTATTTCCAAAAAGCACGGTTACAAACAAACAAACAAACAAACAAACAAACAAACAAACAAACAAACAAACAAACAAACAAACAAACAAATCTACTACATGCAGATTTCTTTACAC